AGCAAGAGCACCGGCTATGGGTGCTCGACACAGGGGCAACAAACTATATGACCAGGGACAAGTCTGAGTTCTTCGAGCTTGACTAGGGGATTCGCGGGATGGTGAAATTCGGCGACGGCTTCGTCGTCGAGATCGAAGGGCGCGACACCATTCTGTTCGTCAGCAAGGGAGGCAAGCACCACAAGTTGACCGGTGTCTACTTCATCCCGAGGCTCAAGGCTAATATTGTGAGCCTGGGTCAACTCGATGAGAGCGGCTGCCACATTTCTATCAAGTGCGGGCTACTTAGGATCTGCGATGATCGATGGCGGTTGCTCACGCAAGTTCGCTGCACGGCAAACCGCCTTTACATCCTAGAGTTGGAGATAGAGCAACCAGTCAGCCTCTCGGCCAGGTACCGGAGGATAGAAGATCTATTAGAAAGAGGTGAACCACCTGGACTAGCGGCCAGCTCGAAGATAAAGTGGCCGAACAAGAGGTGGAGTCTGGAGAACATACCACAGGTTTTAGGAGGAGATTGTTAGATAAAACCTGAGGTTTCCTTATTTAACTTTACACGATTCTATTAGTTGATTGAATATACGTTTCTATTAGTTGATTGAATATCTTTCTTTGACCATTTGACAAACACATCAAATTGATTACCAACTTTTTAGATGGCCATTTTGTAGGAGTAACACAGATTTAGTTGGCCACTCGTGCCATTTTTATGATAAGTTAAATATTTAAAGCCGTGAATCTGTTCATAAATATATCATCACCTCATTTTAAGCAAAAGCCTTAAGCAATTCTCTCTCTCTTATTTTTCGCATTTTTATTTTCTTCCAACAACTTTGACTAAAACGATTTCTTCTAACCGAAAAGGATTTCACTTGCCGATTATCCTTGCGATTGTCAAAAAACGACAGACACCCAACTCCACCCCACCTTGCATGTTTTGTTGTCGTACCCGCCATCAATCATCCTCAAGCCAACCCAAGTTAGAAGACAACATTCCAGGCTCAACGAGTCTCATGTCGCACGCCCAAAGACATTTGACGCCACCCCACCGAGCATGTTCTGCCACCACGCAGCCTTCAAAACATAGGGCTGGCCCAAGGAAGGGAGGCATGCCACAACAACGTCCCACACTCAACAAGGTTCATGCCGCATGCTCGAAGGCACCCGGCTCCACCCCACCTTGCATGTTTCATTGTCGTATCAGCAGCCATCCACAGTCCTCACACTAGAGATTCCCAGTTAGAAGGCAACATTGCAACATTTCGCGCTCAACGAGGCTCATGTCGCACGCTCAAAGGCACCTGATTCCAACTAGCCGAACATGTTCTGGCACCACCCGCCTTCAAAACATAGGGCTGGCCCAAGGCTGGCCAGGCATCACCACAACGTCACACACTCAACGAGGTTCATGCCGCACACCCAAAGGCACCCGGCTCCACCCCACCTTGCATGTTTCATCATCGTACTAGCCATCAACCATCCTCAAGCCAGGCCAAGTTAGAAGGCAACATCGCAACATTTCATTCTCAACAAGGCTCATGTCGCACGCCAAAAGGCGCACCCAACACTGCCTCACTGTGCAAGTTTTGCCACCGCACCACCGCCGTCAACCGCCCTCGTCCGCCGACCACCACCCCCACGCCCCAAGCATATGTCCATGTGCGGCGCATAGTGCTTGAGGCGTGGGGGTGACAGAAGAAAAATATAAACTAAAATAGTAGAGAAAAAAAAAATAAAAGGGAAAAGTAAAGTTAGCAAGCACATCCAGAGTTTGGCTTAAAAATTGGTTTTTGACTAACCATTACTTTATATAAACTATTAAGAAAACTCTTACTTTTAACCTAAACCACTCACCGAACCTCAATTTTGAAACCAGACTTTGATGATTAGGATTAAACAAACATGGACTTAAAAAATTTAATGGCTTTGATTTAAGCCAACAAAGTAAGTGAGCTTACTATTGGAATGCCTTCTTTAGCTAAATTATTCAATTGTATGATATATGATTAAAACACACTATGTGATTTATCTACGTATTACTTATTGTTTATGATATGATTATGAACTTTATGTAATGTGTGTATTTCCCATATATTGATACAGGTATGCTATGAAACTATGTTTACATTATGCCATATGAAATACTAGATGAGTGAAAACGAGTGATATGTTTGTGCACATAAATGTATGACTTAAAGTTGTTATATCATGAAACGTATGGAAGTATGATTATCATAACCATGAACTATGATTTAAAATAGAGGACCTCATGCATGTTGTATGTTACAAGCATGAGTTACTTCTCTAGTATGTTTTATATAGATGCATACACCATTATATGATATGCACTCCTTTCTTTCGGTTGGTTCTGACAATATGAGTGTCTACTAGCTCGTAGTCAAACTTAGGAGTAAGTATACAAGCCTGCTAGTGGGTTCATGCATGCATGTATAAATTGTGTAGATAAGTACTGCGCATCCAACCCTACCGAAAAAAGAAAATACAATCCAAGGAATAGTTAATAAAAGTAGATCCTACTATGAGCCATGTTGCATCTAATTACAATTTTCGATACGAGGTTAAGAATGTGTACTTAATCCACCGCATCTAAATGATGTGAAAGTTATCTTATTTATAATCAAATAAATTACAAGGATATGGAAAAAGTAATAAACGGAAATAACAATAAATTGAAAGATATCTATGGTAAGAAGACAAATATCAGATATTTGCCTTATAATAAAATATCAAATATAATATATATGGTAAACTATAATTTATAATTAAATATCCTTAACACCCCACTGCAAGCTAAGCGTCTGATTTAAACGAACGTGAAGCTTGGATCTGAAAAATTCAAGGAGAGGTTGAGAAAGACTTTTCGTGAAGATGTCAATAACTTAGTTCGGAGGAGGCGTAGAGAAACACTTTCTTGGCCTTCGAAAACTGCAGAGGGATCGACGCTCAACGCCGATGCTGCCTTGGCTTCGACGAGAATATGTTTAACCTATAAAGAGGGATCGTCACTTACTGACGATGCTGCCTTGGCTCTAGTAGAAGGGGAAACCTAGAACAAGGGACAAAGACAATGTTGAAGCCAGAAGAGTCGCCACAGTGGGCGAAGGAGCCAATTTTAGCTAGAAGGGCGGCGGCGACTTGGTTGGAGAAGAGGCCAGTGCGGTGCCCAAATTCCAAAGGTAAATCTTTGCAAAAGGTTGATAGGTTTAGGTTAGGGTTTCTATGAAGGACGAAGGGAAGATTGGGAAGAAAATGAAAGAGACTATGTTGGTTGAGGGAAAATCGATTGTGTTGGAAAAGGTGAGGTTGTATGTAACAATGTATGGTGAATGGTGATTTGGAGGTTAAAAGGGTGGAGTTGAAGAGTAATCAATCGGCTTCGCATGTGGCAGTCATGAAGACTGTCCCTGCAGCGTCAAAGCCAGCAGGAGTGGTAGAGAAGAAGATGAGTAGGAAATTCAGAAGCCATTGAAAATAAGGGATCGGGATTGCTAAACCGAAAGGGCTCTGATACCATAAGAATGTTTTTTTAATCCACCACATCTAAATGGTGTGAAAGTTATCTTATTTATAATCAAATAAATTATAAGGATATGGAAAGAGTAATAAATAGAAATAACAATAAATGGAAACAGACCTATAGTAGTAAGAAGACAAATATCAGATATTTACCTTAGAATAAAATATCAAATATAATATATATGATAAACTATAATTTATTACTAAATACAAACGTTACTTACTAGATATTTTTAAATATTAAAACCACATTGAATGTTTTCCAAGTAAAGGCCCCTCTACCCAAATCAAGAAGTCAATTGAGAAACTCATACCAAATAGCTAGTTTTTTTTTTTTTTTTTTTTTTTTTTTTTTTTTTTTTTTTTTTTTTTT